AGCATTCTGAAAAATCACTAATAATTCGAAAAAATTTTTTGCTCCCTTAATTTTTTGCAGAAGTATATGTCACTGGTGCAATCAGGCGTGAAAAGAAAGCTTATATTCAATTTTCCGTGAGTCAAAAAAATAGCAAAGTATTATGGAACACTTTTAGAGAGTTAACTGTTATTAAAGATAAACGTTCCTCTGATCTTCCATCTACATTTAATGATGTAAACTCAGTAAATTTATTTTTTAATACCATCCCTAGTGTTAATAAAACCCAAGTTTGCATTGATATGTTGTCAAAATATGACCGTCCATTAAACGTAGCGTATGATTTTAAGTTTTCACTAAAAATCGAATATTTAAATTTTACTAATTATTTGCAAAAACCTTACTCCGGCTACAAAACCAAACAAAATGATCTTTTGAACATTTGTACTGTTAACATATATCGATTTAAAAAAATCATAATAATGTTTATTGTAAATATAATCTAATCCAAGATATTGTAAAAAGAAAATGTATCATCATTTCCTTTAAAGGACTTTTTTTTACTCGCTTTAGACCTTCAATAAAATGCCATTCGGCGAGTAATTTTTCTTTTTACAACTTTTTTGTTTATAATAATTGACTGACTACGCCGAAAAATATAAAAAAAATATGTAAATTATCAGAAAAATACACTTTATAAAATAAACAAAGTTTCATGCTGTAGGTTTTTATTTTAAAAATTTAGGCGGTTCGTGCCTTTTTTTTAGGGGTGAAACGCTCGCCTATACGGGGTTGCCTATTATTTGACGTATATGACATCACTACTAAAAAGGTCTCCTAAACTCCTTTTATTATCACGCATGCCAACTTAACCAAGCATATCAGAAGGTACATATACATGTTCCGACTAATCCACGCCTAACCTAAATCTTGCCCGCCGACGGATCCCCGTCTGTTCCAGCAAGGACTTGAAAAGAGCCGCCCGAAACGAGAGGAATCGGTTAATCTTATCACCGCCCTCGTTCGACGTTGATCATTTGGCACATTTAAACGCCGTCAGGGTGCGCAAATACACGCGAGCAACTACAAAAGCGGGAATTCGCGCCTAACCAGATTAGACGTATTAAACCGTGGGGCATATTGACAGAATCCATTATGATTTCCATTTCGGCTTATAAATAATATTAAAATTAATTCCGTAAATTAATTAGCCGGTGGAAATGAGCGAGCAAACGTCGGGATTTATAAGGTGGAGGACGTAATAACTCCTTCGCCTCGGATTTGCACCTAGGCAGTGAGGGATTGCGCGAGCGGGACGCGACTGGAGGGCAGGTGAAATATAAATGGAAATCCAAGAGTTGAACGTCTTGGTTAGAGTTAAATGGGACTCTTTTGTTCTCCCTTACGCCTCATCATGGCCTGCTCTGATTTATGAATTATTACACAGGTCGACAAGAAAAAAATAATTTCTATTTTAATACACAGATCTTGATACTATACATGGAAAATAACTAAAATTTTGCTTTGTCTTTTTTACTTCGGTAAATATGTTTTTGGTTCATGATGTACTTAAACACAGTTCATAGTAATGAGTATGCGCTCTTACTTTACAGGTGTACAGGGTCGGACAGTCCCAATGGTTCATCGGCCGTTATGTAAGAGCAATAAAGTAAGTCATAGAAATCCACTTCTTATTTGTGGAAGGGCGAAATGGGCGGTGACTTTTAGACGCCTTCATTATAGCCATCTTTCTCTATCGTACGGATTTCTATGACTTTCTTTATCGCTCTCACGTAACAGCCGATGAACCATATGGACTTTCCGACCCTGTATAACCGTTTTTGTATGCGCTGAGTGAAAAATCCTACTCAAAATCAAAATAAAAAGTAGACACCTTGTTTGTTATGTGTTAACTGCAAAAACACTTCTTCAGTAGGAAAGTACGAAACGAAAAATATTCATTTTTGAATTTTGTTTTCAATTTTTTATATTTGTAGTTCATCATTAATCATTATTTATAAAGAAAAGAAACTTAAATGTGAAACTGAAATTTGTTTAATTTTTATTCGCAATAGATCTTTCTTCGTATTTTATTATGTAGAATAATTGTAAAGGACTAAAAGTCCTCAAGTAAAGCTTGCACCAAGGTTGTTGTAATTAGATATATCTAATTTAATTGAGTTAAATTTTAAACACATTTGCTACAAATTATAGTTGCACTACAATAATAGGTACTTGCGCAAGTAATAGATGATATAATGAGAGCCACTAAAAGTAACAGATTTGATTGAAGTTGATAACATTAAAAATTTCCTGCTTCTTCCAATACTGTATTATATTGGATTCAATAATGATTATGTTTATAAAAATTAATCTACAGCTTCCTGATGATATTTGTAATAGAAAAGTTCTATCTTCGCGTTTTTTTTGAAAATTAAAATTCATTTATTCAACGAAAATAAAGGCCGACCATTTCTTATTTATTAGAAACTATTTGGAAATGTTTTTAAGCGATCCGAAATGCAACCTTATAATTTAAGTCGGTATAATCTAATACTAGTAATACTAAAAGAAGGTTATCAAAAAATTTGTGCAGTCAATTGATTTCGTATTTGTATTGAATTCATTATTCACTTAATTATTAAATATTAAGCATCATCCATCGACCCATAAGTGTTAAAAAGTGAAAGATATCCAGACAGAAGTTTTTATTTTGTAATTCCACTATAGTGACAGCGTAATTTTTATTAAGTAAAAAATAGGAATAGCGTGCCGATTAAATTAAAAACGAGATTCTTATTTCTTACTTTGCTTAATTTTTTAGTTTGTGCACAAACTAGTTTTATAATGAACCGAGAAAACAATGCATTTACTATTTCCGAATGTGTCGATATGGTGTTAGTGTATGGTGCAGCCGGAGAAAACGCGCTCGCGACGACTAGGTTGTACTGTACAGGGAACGATGGCCACAAAGTCACCCCCCCATGTGCAAATACAATCCTACAGTGCCTTCAGAGGCTGCGAGATACGGCAAATGTTATTCCTCGAAGAGAAGGACGTGGTCAACAAGTGAACCTTAATGTTGCAGATGCAGTGTTGGAAAATCTTGACGAAGACCCCACAATTAGTACTTGACGACTCGCACAGCAAGTAGGAACCTCATCTCGTACCGTACATCGCATCTTAAGGCGCCAGCTGTTTCACCCCTATCATCTGCAACCAGTTCAACAGATTTAACCCCCGGATTGTGATCGACGAGTGCGTTTTTGCAGATTGTTTTTACGGCCAATTTATGTGCCAATCAAGTAGACTTTCCTGCTTATGTTTGTGTAACAGATGAGGCGATATTTACCCGTGATGAATTGAATTTCCATAATATTGCACATATGGGCCAATGAAAATCCTCACGCGATTAGGGAAACTCATTTTCAACATCGGTTCTCGGTAAATGTTTGAGCTGGCATAATCGGCGATGTACTTACTTGTGGGTCCCTATTTCTTTGAAGGACGACTAAATGGACCAACAGATGCTGATTTTTTGGAGAACCGCGGTTGCCTGAATTATTGGACATTGTTGCATTACAAGTTCGGGCACACATGTTTTATCTTCAAGATGGAGCTCCTCCACACAGTACTCGAGAAGTAACGACACTTTTGAATGAAATGTTTCCTCACCGATGGATTGGAAGCTTTGGTCCTGTGCCGTGGCCCCTCGGTCACCCGATCTAACTCCAATGGACTTTTATCTTTGGAATCATTTAAAGTCATGGCTTACCAATTGCTACGCTGGAAGAATTGTGAAACCGTATACTTGAAGCTGCTGACACAATTAAGGGAATACCTGGAAATTTGGGAAAATATTCGCCAAAATTGGGTGCGTCGATGCCATGCCTGGTCTACAGCACGTAACTCGTCGTATAGCACACGGACAGGACCGTTCCGGAGAAAATATTTTGATCCATAATTGAACTTTAATTTACGAAAAAAATTAACGGAAAAATAGAACTTTTTCGTATAAGCCTTTCCTATTACAAATATCGTTAGGAAGCTGTAGTTTAGTTTTTATAGATTATAAACTCCACATCCTGTATATAACTATCAGTATTCTGATCATGAAGGAGTTAATAATGGAGCGCCACAAGGGTCGATATTATGTCCCTTATTTTCACTATTTTTACCTCTCAGTTTGGGCTCTTTTATCTCACTGCAAGTCACACTTTTACGCTGATGATACGCAATTATTCTATCTCTTCTTAGGTCTTATTTCAGTTCAGTAACAGATATTAGTTTGTTTGTCATTAGCCTGGCTGTGAATCAGAGAAATTTCATCGATCTTCGGACTTCCCCAAGAGTCAATTTTTGGGTCATTCTTGTCTATTGTTAGTTTGCGTCCGCAGTAAACAATAACCAGTCGACTCTACAAATATTGCAAGATCTCTGAATATAAAAAATTCAGACAGATATCTGTCATTAATTTTGCAAACCAGCAGCTACTTTCTTAGCTGACTGTGCATTTAAAGCATTTTGGAGGTTGGAAAATAGCTGAAGGATAATGTCGAAGATTCTCCTCAACAGAAAATCAAGATTGCGATGAAAATTTTTAACGACAACAATGCTGACGATCTTCTACTGTTTATTTTACTGTTACCGCTGGTGTTATCTCTTCTACTACGATTACAGAAGCAAATATTAATAGAATGACGCCTCACAAATAAAATGAGATCCCTTGGTAGTAGAATTCTATTTCAAAATGCAATATTTGGTATTACTATAAATAGTAATAAATAGTTAACTTTTTAATATTGTTTTCTTGATTTGAATTATTTTGTTTCATTAGTGACTAAAATATTTAGTTATTAGTGCCATAGACGCCTGAATTTGAAATTGTTGTGGATGCCCACTGCTCCGTTTTAATTTGTCTGACTATGGTTCTTAAATTTACTACTGACTGTTCTGCATCTACAGCTGGAGCACCCAGGGCCTCCCAAACCCGACGCCTATGGCCAGTGCATACCACTTACCCTCCACCAGCCTGGATATCCTCTCCTCGCACTCCCCGTACATGCTGGCCCTATACTGCGCGCTTCTTCGGTGGAACCCCTCCCCGAAGCCCCCCTCCGCGAGATCGAACTCCTCCGGGGGTTTGCTGGTCCTCCGCTGTCGCCTCCGGACCGTCGCAGCCGGCTTCCTGCACGCTATCACCGCCGCCACTGCCACTACGCTGACGATGAGAAGCACTGCAGCTGCGGCGAAGCCTACTATTATTAGGGTCAGTCCCTGACCACTGGAATCGGTGGATCCCCCTTCCGGCGCGCCGCCTGTTGTTGTGTCTGAGAAACCACAACAGATTGGTCGTTAGTTGGTGCAAGATTCATGCTTCTTCTGAGAGTGCTTGGAATGACCAGCTAATTATTTACGTTTGTTCCGGTTAATTTATTGCCGGTTCAAGGGGATCGCTTAGGGCGGGCACGCGTTTTTTTGCACCCGCCCGGATCATGCTTAGTGATCGCTAAGATTGTGACTACAAAATGGTTGTCCTACGTGAATTACGTATATTTTTAGTATGGATATCAAAGTATATCAAAAAATATAAGCACCTTTCTATATAAATTATTTCTTTTTCGAAAATTTATAATTAACGCAATTTGTATGGCAATAAAGAAGAGTAGTGCACATACAGGGTGAGTTAAAGTTGTGGCAAAGTTGATTTATTGCCAGAATATAATTGAGGCAAAATATTCCAAAATAGGTTCGGTTGGGGGGGGGATGTCAAGAAATACCTGACTTATTGACTTATATAGTACGATCTCAATTGGAACCGCATAAAAACATAAACTCATAAATTCTACGGAATCCATAGACGTCCAGAAAAATTTAGACCTGTCTCGTCGAGATATACTATATTCCGTGCTATATTACCATATAAGTACCATACGATTGTCAAGTTTTTTATGTTTAAAATCGCATTGTAATAAAGCATGTCGTAAAATATCTAAAGATTTATAATTATAATCAAGATAATCGCTTAATTTATCTCGAATCATGTTTATGTAGGAACTTTATTTTCTTTATACATATTATAAATTGTGCTCTGCATTACATCTGGTAAAATCGTCAATTTTCTTTAATTTTGTATTTTTCCGTTCCCTCTTTGTACCGTGACCAATCCTTCTTTAATTACGGGATAAATTGGCCTTTTTTGGATATTTTAGTTAATTCGTTAATCCGTTTCCTAACTTTTTATTACATCGTTTACTATTTTCAATTTTCAAACATTCATATATTTAATAAAATACGTAGACTTTTATCTTTGTTTTTAAAGTCTGAGTTTGTTTCGATACTTTCGACAAAAACCGGTTCCACTATTTGGGGATTTTCCCGAGTTATTTCGTTATCCTCCGCTTCAAAGAGTCTCCAGAGAGCCACGCTAAATTACTAGATAATTACATATAACATTTATTTTAATAACTGTTACCCTTTACTGGTTACGATATGAACAAATAATAATATCAACTAATAAATAATAATACGTATTATACCAACAACATACCCCGCCAAGCAATGCTCTGCACTGCACTGGCAAAGC